TTAAAATACACTCTACAACTTTTAATTTTCAATGTCATATAATCATGATATATGTTTTCAAAACCAATAAGCAATTCTCAGAGGAGACAAATAGTAAACCTGTTTCAACTTACAAAATGCCCCAAAACAACCTTTTTAGATTAATTTTTTGACACAATAAAGTTCTTAGCTTCAAGTCTCTTTGTTGGTCCTATGTCTTACAACTTTATTAGAAGAATGTTTGTTTTGTAATTTCATTTGTTTCAAAAGTTAAAATGTAAAAGGTGAAACATGTAACAGGGAACATTATTTGGTTAAGATATAAACTGAAATTTAAATGAAATTGTTGTGCAAATTAAGGGACCCCCTATCATTCAATTTGATTCACATTTAGCTCATTTTATCTATTGAAAAGTGCTTATCCTTTTAAAGTCCTGCAGTTAATGCAATTGTCAGCAACAGTGCTTTATTAATGTTCTTTTTTGTCCAAACCATACCTAAATATGATTTGAAATTATTCAAACTACTCTTTCAATCTTTCCATGAGTGATTTCCATCACTTTGGTTCTCATTGATGAAGGCGTATGGTTGCCTATAATTGCTTACATATCCTAAATTTTATATGTTGAAAATGAGATTCTTTTTAATATTACTTATATTTTAAGTTATTTTTGTAAATTTCATGTACAGAGGTACCCTTTCATACAGAGTTTACTGGCATAAACAAATTTTCTTAGGCTTCTGGCATTTTTTCTCAAGAAGCATACCTCCTGGATCACTAATTACTATTATGACACACAAAAATTTCATATTGATGCCTTTGGGACAAATATTTGTCTTTTCGGACTATAAAAATGTAAGTTTCCTTCAAAGTCTTGCAGGTAGACAGATATAAATGAACTGAAATATTTGATTTATTGAGACTTGAATTTATTTATAATTTATAAACCCAAAACAAATCATGTATTATATAATTGTATAATTTAATCATATTAAATAACTCTAATAAGTGAAATTTCTGTTATTATTTTAAGGTTACCTTTTATTTTGTTTTTTATGGTTGGAATTAATATCTTTTGTTTATGGTCCCTGCTTCCTGCCTGTCAAGGCAAATATGGAAACTTCTTTTGCTGAATCAAAATCTCTTTTCACATTAAAAAATGTAATCTTTAATTGCTGTTTTTCATATTTGTTCTGCAATATTTGCATTGGTCATATGATAATTCAAGATTTTTTTTAATTTTCTAAATAAACTAAATATTACTATTTTGTACATGTGTTTCAGATTATACAGTTAGGTCAGTCGCTGACATTATACAATTAGAAATGAATCCAGAAAATGAAGAATCAAAAGAAGAAACTGGTGAAACTATGGAACTAATCATACTAGATATACCAGGTGGAAAGGAATATTATGCTGCATTTGAACCATTTTTATCAACAAAGGCAATATACCTCTTATTATCTGATGTGAATGAAGAATTATCAGAGGAAAAAAGGAATCATACAAAGAGTAATCTTATGCTGGAAAATAATGGTGGTATGAATACTTTGTCATTTTGAATTATTGGAAACTATTTTGTAATATTAATTATTGCTACAGAAAAACTGCAAAAAGATCCAAAATGATTACCAGTAAAAACAGAAACAAAGAAGACAGATAATGTTTCAGTAAAGGCATATTTGAAGAATTACATGGTAAATGTTGATTACTCCTATATGTTCTGCATCTTCATATTTAAATTGTTTATTTTATACCAATTCCCCAGTTGCTATTGATTTATTTTAATTTATAATATTATTTGTATGTGAATTTACTTGCAGGACTTATTAGAGACTGGCTTTATAGTGTCCACAGTAAGAGACTGGCAGCAGCAGAGGACCAACCCTCACCTCTATCACTTACTCCCTCCATTATATTGGTTGGAACACACATAGATAAATTGAAATATTCAGGACCTGTAAGTTGGTTTGGTAATGAAAGTTTCACTGTTCTTATTACTTGTCTGGCTAACCACAAACAGTGTATCCAGGTACAGATCTCCAGATTTTGGTAAAGGCTTAAAAGCTTTGATTTAAAGGGGATTTGAAACAAACATAGTTATTGAATGAGGGTAGGAATGCCCTTTACCGTCAGGCGTCAAACAGTCATTTTCGGCTACCGTTAGTGTCAAATTGGTTAAAATTTTACTGTCATTCGTCAAAATATCCTTATCGTGATTCGTCAGAGGTCTCAAATAAATATTGTTACCGTTATTTTTGGAAAAAAATTAACGTGATTTGTCAAAATCAGTCGATTTTTTTATCATCTTAAAAGAAAGCGTACATTTCATCGTCATGCACCAAAAATTACCGTTAACGTCATTTGGCGAGATCTTTTATTGTTAATCGTCATGAAGGCACCCCCATTACGACCCTCTTGAATACATTAAGACATAAATTATTCACAATTCAGTTTAGCATAAAGGATAGTGTGATGTCAGTTGTATTCTGATTGGTTAATAAATGGAAAATGGTACTGAGTGAGCTCTCTATTAATCTGATAAAAAAAAATTCAAAGGTTCAAGAAATAGGATTACAGAATAATATAATTTGTTATATTACCATGATTAAATTAAAGAGGCATTAGCTGTCAAATTCATGTTCACCGATTTGACTCAAATTCTCATATTTGATTTATAACATACTTAAACGTATATCCTAATTATAAAAAGTATAAAATAAACAATTTACAATGCATGGGTTCGATAATATGTATCAACATTTCGTGTGTATTTTAGTATAGATATAAATAGATAGCAAACTCATGCAATTTGATTTTTCTATGTCTGTTTGACCTCATATTATAGGTTAACAATTTATGTTAATCATCGTTTTTACCTGTATAAGAATGAGTTTTTGTGGATCGAATCAGTTAATCAAATGGTTTACCTTTGTTACACTTTCAATGTTGACATTCTTTTCCTTTTAATAACTGAACACGCCTAATTCATGCGTAATCCATCTCTAGCTAACAATTTAAATTGAAGGTCACATGAACACGGATTCAATGAGGTCGAATTATTCTCTTGCAAGTGAATAATTCATCAGCGATGTTTCTTAGCTAATTTTGACAAAATTGAACAAAACTGGCTGCTAAAAGCGAATTATTATTTCACTGTTTCACTTGCACTAATGATTGAACAAAAAAAATCATAAAGTTGAGCAACTGAGTGATAGTGTTTATAAGTTGCTCTGTTGAATGTTGCCTTCCATTACCAGGCACATATTAACAATTTCCCCGAATGCTATTCAAATAGAAAGTAGGACAATGATGAAGTTTGTTAGAATGATGGTGAGATTGTTTCTTTGAAGAACAAATTAAAAAAGAGTAATAGTATACAAAAGTACTTGTCACCTCAGTTAGACACTCTATTCTGACTTGCAGTTTGATCAGTCTTTTGCACCTTAATGCTTTATTCTTTGCAAAGAACCTAAACTAGCCAAAAGTATTGTTGGTGGTCCTTGTGATGTTCTTAATGAGTTAAGTGTTCTTTTGCTGATACAAGACAGTCAACCTTGCTTCTCCATTATAGGTTACTTTAACCAATTTCAGCTATTCAAATTCACATTAAGAACACAAAAAACCTCACTTTTGACAAGTTTTCATTCATTTTTAGCTCACCTGACCTGAAAGGTCAAGTGAGCTTTTCTCATCACTTTGCGTCCGTCGTCCGTCGTCCGTAAACTTTTACAAAAATCTTCTCCTCTGAAACTACTGGGCCAAATTTGACCAAACTTGGCCACAATCATCATTGGGGTATTTAGTTTAAAAAATGTGTCCGGTGACCCGGCCAACCAACCAAGATGGCCGCCATGGCTAAAAATAGAACATAGGGGTAAAATGTAGATTTTGGCTTATATCTCTGAAACCAAAGCATTTAGAGCAAATCTGACATGGGGTAAAATTGTTTATTAGGTCAAGATCTATCTGCCCTGAAATTTTCAGATGAATCGGACAACCTGTTGTTGGGTTGCTGCCCCTGAATTGGTAATTTTAAGGAAATTTTGCCGTTTTTGGTTATCATCTTGAATACTATTATAGATAGAGATAAACTGTAAACAGCAATAATGTTCAGCAAAGTAAGATCTACAAATAAGTCAACTTGACCAAAATGGTCAGTTGACCCCTTAAGGAGTTATTGCTCTTTATAGTCAATTTTTAACCATTTTTCGTAAATTTTTGTAATCTTTTACAAAAATCTTCTCCTCTGAAACTACTAAGACAAATTTAACCAAACTTGTCCACAATCATCATTAGGGTATCTTGTTTAAAAAATGTGTTCGATGACCCCGCCTGTGAACCAAGATGGCCGACATGGCTAAAAAATAGTACATAGGGTAAAATGCAGTTTTTGGCTCATATCTCTGAAACCAAAGCATTTAGAGCAAATCTGACATGGGGGTAAAATTGTTCATTAGGTCAAGATCTATCTGCCCTGAAATTTTCAGACCAATCAGGCAACACATTGTTGGGTTGCTGCCCCTGAATTGGTAATTTTAAGATAATTTTGCAGCTTTTGGTTATTATCTTGAATATTATTATAGATAGAGATAAACTGTAAACAGCAATAATGTACATCAAAGTTAGATCTACAAATAAGGCAACATGACCAAAATTGTCAATTGACCCCTTAAGGAGTTATTGCCCTTTATAGTCAATTTTTTACAATTTTCATAAATTTTGTAAATTTTTGTAAATTTTTACAAAGTATTTTCCACTGTATCTACCGGGCCAAGTTCATTATTGATAGAGATAATAGTAAGGAGCAAGAATGTTCAGTAAAGTAAGATCTACAAACACATCACCATCACCAAAACACAATTTTGTCATGAATCCATCTGTGTCCTTTGTTTAATATGCACATAGACCAAGGTGAGCGACACAGGCTCTTTAGAGCCTCTAGTTATTTTATATGAATACATAATTTGAATAGCGTAACCTGCAGTTCTTGTATTGTAAAATGTTTTTGCAGGTTGAGGAAACCATCAAGAGACATGAAAGACATGTTCTAAATTGTGTAGATCAAAAGGAGGAAACCATCAGAAAACATGTGTCACACAGTTTTGTTCTCTCAAATACAAATACAAATATCCCAGAATTACATAGTCTCAAAGAAGCAATAGTTAATATTACATGCAAAATACCAGAAGCAGAAATCCTAGTTAGATATAAAATGTTTGAAAAATTATTGGATGATAAACGAAATACAACAGTGACTTTGAGTTTTGATGAAATCAATCAGCTTGGGAAAGAATCTGGTTACCCTGTACAAGATAGACGTGAAATTAATCAGTTTCTCTCATACCAGAATGATGTTAAAAATGTAATATACCACCAGGATATTCCAGAATGTGTTATCATTTCTCCCAACTGGCTGTACAGTGTCATCAGACAACTTCTAACAGCTTTTCATTATGAAGGGGAGAATTCAGATTACAAGAAGAAAGGGTTAATATCCCTCGACCTTCTAAACAGAATAATTGAGGACACTAAGAGAAATACCAATCAAACCAAACAAGATATAATCAGTATACTCATAAAATTTGACATAGTTGCCATTGCATGGAGAGCAGATGAATATAAAGAAACAGCTACATATTGTTATTACGTTCCTAGTGTAATACCTGAAGAACATACAGTAGATTTGGTGACTTTGTTTGAATCAGAAAGAAGAGGAAAAACATCATTCCTGTGCTTTAGTTTTGACTTTTTACCACCATCTCTTATAAATCATGTGATGGTCAAATTGTTATCACAGTATTCTATCTGTGAGCAAAATGGAAATATAGCACTTTATTGTAGAACCTTGTTGGCAAATTATGATAGATATGCTAAGCAGAAGCTATATTTTCTATCACACAAAAATGAACTGCTTATCCAAATTTGGTATTATGGTACTCAACAAATTTCACCATGTTTTCAGGGATTGCGGACTATAATTGAAAGTACTGTTAGCAATTACAAAGGCAGACATAACATGAACATTGCCTATACACACATATTGAGATGTCCTGATTCAAAACATTCTGCCACTGATGGTTGGGATATTTTTGATACATCAAGAAAAAAGACATTTTATTGTGTGGATCATAAAACCAATTATGAAGATCTATATTCTACTTGGTTTACAGATTCCAATCAGACAGTTGAGGTTAGATTATAAAATGGATAATTACAAGAAAAGTTTTTTTGTTTTATTGCTGAATGATTTATTGTTATTGCTGTATTAGAGTTTTTTAATACATTCATGGCTGCATATGTCAGACCATTTTTATACGACCGCAAAAAAATTTTCGCGTCATATAATGCTATGATGTCGTCGTCGTCGTCCGAAGACACATTTGGTTTCCGGACAATAACTTAAGTTAAAATGAATGAATCTCTATGCATTTTTACCAGAAGGTTCAATACCACAAAAGGAAGTTTGGGATTGATTTTGGGGGTGATGGTACCGACAGTTTAGGAATTAAGGGCCAAAAAGGAGCCAAAAACAAGCATTTTTGTAGTTTCTGAACAATAATTTGTGTGTAAGTGTATGGATCTCTCTGAAATTGTACCACAAGGTTTCATATCATAAAGGGAAGGCTGGGATTGAGTTTGGGGTTAATTTCCTCAAACGTTCAGGAATGAGGGGCAAAAAAGGGGCCAAAAACAAGCATTTTTCTAGTTTCCAGACAATAACTTGTGTTTGGGGGTAATTACTCCAAAAGGAGGGCGGGGAGTACAAGAAGTTGGTGTGATTTTTTTTTTCCAATTTTTTTGGGGGGAGGGGGGTTCATTTTTATTCTTCAAAATTTTTGAAATATCCCAGTATTGCGCAATAGCAAGAAATTTTCTATTGCACAATAGCACAGTATTGCACAATAGCAAGAAATCTTCAACTGCACAGTATTGCGCAATAGCAAGAAATCTTCAATTGCACAGTATTGCGCAATAGCAAAAAATCTTCAATTGCACAGTATTGCGCAATAGCAAAAAATCTTCAATTGCACAGTATTGCGCAATAGCACAGTATTGTGCAATATCAAGAAATTTTCTATTGCACAATAGCAAGAAATCTTCAACTGCACAGTATTGGGCAATAGCAAGAAATCTTCAATTGCACAGTATTGCGCAATAGCAAAAAATCTTCAATTGCACAGTATTGCGCAAAAGCATGAAATCTTCAATTGCACAGTATTGCGCAATAGCAAGAAATCTTCAATTGCACAGTATTGCACAATAGCAAGAAATCTTCAATTGCACAGTATTTCACAATAGCAAGAAATCTTCAATTGCACAGTATTGCGCAATAGCAAGAAATCTTCAATTGATAACAAATACAAATGTTTAAACCAATTTCGATAGGATTAATTAATTCTTTAATTTTTGGGGGTTCTAACCTTGTATCATTTTTTTGGATATTGGGCCCCATTTTTAAATTGGTCTACATTGAGGTCAAAAGGGTCCAAAATTAAACTTTGTTTGATTTCATCAAAAACTGAATTATTGCGGCTGTATGATTTGCTGAATCTTATTGTGCATTTAGATTTTTATTTTGGGCCCTGTTTTCAAATAAGTTCAGATTAAGGTTTGAAGGGTCCAAAATTAAACTTCGTTTGCTTTCAACTAAAATTAAATTATTGGTGTTTTTTTATATGCTGAATCTAACCATGTTGTTAGATTTTGGATATCAGACCATTCTAGGTAAATTAAATGTCCCATTTCAAATTTTTAAGATCTTTGACCACATTTATTTTGTGTCAGAAACCTATATTATGTCAAAAATTTTATCACAATTAAAATTTAGACAGTATCGAGCTTGAATATTGTGTCCAAACTTGCCCCAATTGTTCAGGGTTCGACCTCTGCGGTCGTATCAGGCTGCGCTCAGCGAAGCATTTTATATTAATTTATTATTAATTTATTAGTATTTTATAGAGCTACTGTTAATGAGTTGATTTTTTTAAATAATTAGGATTTGTATAAGCTTGTTATTAATGATATTGTTCATAAGTTAGCAATTATTTTATTTCAGCATTCAGAAGCAGTAAATAGAAATCTTGAATCACAATTCCAGAGGGAGAGCAGACAGAGAGCATCAGGTATCATTTGAAGTTTATATACAGTCGTATTAATTTTATATTCATAAACCATTGTAAACTTATTGTGCAACATATGACTTATTGTGCAACATATGAAGATATTGTACCAATATTGGTTGAAATAATAGGTGAAAAAACTGTTGCTTTTAATAATGTTATCTGATAACTCTTTTTTAAAACATTCCTATATCTTTTAGGATCATTGAAAGGTATGTCTTTTAAAAACTGATTGGTCTTATTTCAATGTTTTTGTTGTTGTCCAGCTTGAATGAAAGTTGTGGAAGCAAGACATAGCTATCCTACATTCTGTCTTCAGAATCTCATTGTCAACATTAAGATTCTTTCTGTGGTTTAATTTTTTTTAAACATAGATAACTTTTCAAACATTGAAGGAATTTTATGAGACTTAGACAGAAGCTCATTTTTGTTTAAAAAAACATTATCTAGATCAAACTTTATATATTTTATTATTATACCCTCGCTTAAAAAAAGTGGGGGTATACTGTTTTACCTCTGTATGTCCGTCCATCCATCCATCCATCCGTCAGTCTGTCAGTCCGTCAGTCCATCCATCCGTCCCATGAAAATTTTTCATCACATTACTCAGGAACTACAATACAAGGATTTCTGAAATTTGGTTTCAGGGTTTATATAGGTCAGCTGTACCGTGTGATGCGTTCTCAGATTGATCACTAAACAACTTCCTGTTTACTGAACACTTACATCATTTTACACAACACATCCAAGTTGAAAATTTTCGTCACATTTTTCTCAGGAACTACATTACAAGGATTTCTGAAATTTGGTTTCAGTGTTTATATAAGTCAGCTATACCGTGTGATGCGTTTTTAGATTCATCAATCAACAACTTCCTGTTTACCGTCAAGTATTTGGGCTGGGGGTATCATCAGTGAGCAGTTGCTCCCAGTTTCACTTGTTTTCCATATTTTATGCCCCTGCCATAGCGGTGGGTGCATTAAGTTTTACCCTTGTCCGTCTGTACGGACGTACGTCCCAAAATTGGTTTCCCTTCTCTAACTTGAGTTTGCCTCAACCAAATGTTATGAAACTTATACACAATGCTTATTAACACAAAACACAGATCAAGTATGAATTTTGGTGGCGTCATTTTAACCGTTCTAGAGTTATGCCCCTTTATAAATGAAAAAATTGCAAAATTTTTAGTTTCCGTTCTCTAACTTAAGTTTGCCTCAACCAAATGTTATGAAACTTATACGCAATGCTTATTACTACAAAACACAGATTAAGTTTGAATTTTGGTGGCATCACCTTAACCATTCTAGAGTTGTGCCCCTTTATAAATGGAAAAATTGCAAAGTTTTTATTTTCTTCTTAATATCAAGTAATTTTTAAAATTGGAGTTATCTTCCTTTGTCCATGATTGTAGTTGAATCAACTACAATCAATGCTTTATACAATGCAATGTTTATTTTTGACTTCCACTGATAAAACACAGATCAAGTTGAATTTGGGTAGTGTTACTTTAACCATTATTGAGTTATGCCCCTTTATAAATCGAAAGATTGCAAAATTTTTAGTTTCCATTCTGTGACTTTAGTTTGCCCCAACCAAACATTATGAAACTTATACACAATATTCATTACCACAAAACTAAGATCAAGTACAAATTTTTTGTTTCCGTTTTCTAAATTTAGTTTGCTTCAACCAAATGTTATGAAACTTATACACAATGCTTATTACTACATAATACAGATTAAGTACGAAATTTGGTGGTGACACTTTTACCATTCTTGAGTTATGTCCCTTTATAAACATAAAAATTGCTGAATTTTTCGTTTCCGTTCTCTAACTTTAGTTTGTCTCAACCAAATGTTATAAAACTTATACACAACCATTCTAGAGTTATGCGTGTTTACAAATAGAAAAATTGCTGAATTTTTAGTTTCTGTTCTCTACTTAAGTTAGCCTCAACCAAATGTTATGAGACTTACACACAATGCTTATTACCACAAAACTCAGATCAAGTTCAAATTTGGGTTGCGTCACTTTTACAGTTCTTAGTTATGTCCCTTTATAACTATATGATATGCAAGCGGGGGCATCATCGGTGTCCACATGTGGACACTATCCACATTTATTTGTAAGTGGACAACATTTTTGTAGTTAATATTTAAGTTCAGTTGGTTTCAAGTTTTATTAGACATCAATAACTCTGTCAAACCTTCAGAAACAGATAACATCTGAATTGCAAATATATATTATTTTTATTTATCTGTATTTCAATGATACAAATAGACTCTTATTATACCCCCGCTTTAAAAAAGTGGGGGTATACTGTTTTATCTCTGTCTGTCCATCCGTCAGTCCGTCCCATGAATATTTTTCGTCGCATTTTTCTCAGGAACTACATTACAAGGATTTCTGAAATTTGGTTTCAGGGTTTATATGAGTAAGCTATACCATGTGATGTGTTTTCAGATTCATCACTTAACAACTTCCTGTTTACCGAACACTTACATCATTTTATGCATGACATCCAAGGAGTTGAAAAGTTTAGGCACATTTTTCTCAGGAACTACATTACAAGGATTTCTGAAATTTGGTTTCAGGGTTTATATGAGTCAGCTATACCGTGTGATGCGTTTTCAGATTCATCACTCAACAAATTCCTGTTTACCGGAATATTTGGGCAGGGGTATCATCAGTGAGCAGTAGCTCACAGTTTCACTTGTTATTTTGCAGTTAACATTTATATACACAATATGTGACCTATAATGGTTTACTTTTATAAATTTTTACTTGGATGGAGAGTTGTCTCATTGGCACTCATACCACATCTTCTTATATCTATATACAGTCGGGGGTTTAATCTTTTAGACATCAAATGCATGTATGAGGGGTATTAGTGTCACTATGTTGACAGCTCTAGTTGGTTTTTGCTTGACATATTTTTAGAGCAATTCAAAAGAGAAATCCATTCCTGATTTAAGCTGAAATTATATACATTATAACAAAAATGACATCAATCAACGACAATCAAAAAGTTACAGGCTTCTGACTTGGGACAGACACAAACACAGTGGGGAAATCTATTTGCAATAAATCCTTGTAATACTTGTAACTTTTTTGCATGCATCTCCCGCCAGGTGAATTTACACTCTGTCAGAGTGTCACAATTAGGTAAAGGACACAATCGGTAAAATGACAGGTCTGATGATTATACTGGTATCTTAAGATCTAAGACAAAGAAAACATGTTGCTAGTAAGTTGATACCCACACATATGGTATCAGTCAACCAATTTGTGATGGTGACCGTTAAACTTATTTGGTGTTGATTTCAGTCAATCTTCCTCATAACTCTGTTGGAGCAGTTTGTTGTGTAAGGAGCACATCCCTGTTTATGTTAGTGTGAACATGCACAAGTGAACATTTTAGCTGAGATATGTAAACGCCATATGACGGTGCAGAGGCTATGTTCCTGTAAAAGAAAAATTGATGTCTAATAAAACTTGAAACCAACTGAACTTAAATATTAACTACAAAAATGTCGTCCACTTACAAATAAATGTGGATAGTGTCCACATGTGGACACAGATGATACTTTCAGTAGTATCCTTAATCTCAAGTTCACTATGTGGAAAATTGGTGACTGGAAAAAGCTTTTAATTGGTGTGGTTTCTGGCGTAAACAAACTATTGATTTTTTCTACTTTTTTATAAAAATAGTAACTTTTTTAGCTCAACTGGCCCTAAGGTTCACTGGAATGATTCCAGGTGTTTTCAAATGGGTCCCTTGACCATCAAATTGGGAATTTTCATCCAAATTTGTAATTTTTTATGCATAAAATCTAAGACAAAATAACATTATTTTCCTATAAAAAGGGAAAATGAATATTAAGTTTCACCTGTACACTGCTGTAAATAAGTTTTAACATTTTGAATAATCCTGGACAGGCTATTGGTTATGATATATATGATTACCAGATCGCTTTACAGTTATTGGATTGAGACCAGGGATGTTGTTACATGAAGATTATTGCACATGATGCACTATCTTTTGTAGGCTTGCATCTTAGCTATGGTTACCTCAGCCTTTTACATATATAAGGGAATGACCATTTAACTTCAAAAGGGGGGGGGGGGGGTTATGGTTTTTTACTAACAAAATATTCTGATCCCCAATTTGAAAAAACTATTCTGGTCAAGCAGATGACAAAAAAAACATATTCTGAATCCAGATTTTCCCCATACCTTATAGTGTTGAATATTGAAAAAAATAAAAATAATACCTTATAGCGTTGAATAAAAAACCATAACCCCCCTTGAAGTTAAATGGTTGCACCCTAAAAGCTAACATAAACTACTTAAAAAAATCATCCATTGGGTATTTTTTTCAACAACAGGTCATCTTTATAAATTTACATCGATTCAAATGGATTTCAAATTGAACTGGCCAATTATCGAATTTAGAAAAGCAATTACAAAAGTTCAAGTACTTAATTGATAAGATATTTTTGTGATTTTTGCTTGCTGTTTAATATGTAGAAGGTTGCCATAGTTTTACTTTAGGTGTAACCCTAAGAACATGAAGAAACAGGAAATTAAAGCATTGAACCATTGTATTTTAATATTATTTGGATCATCTTCACAACTTTTGAAACATTTCCATAATGTTGACATCCTATTTCATGAATGATCTATCATCCACATGTATTTTCAAACACGCTCAAACTTTCGTCTTTTGAGGAAATAGAGCCTGACCAAATATAAAATAATTTCTTTTACAAAACAAGTTTTCATCATATTATATAACCAGCTCTGCTGGGCGATCTGCTTTTAAGAGATCGGCGCCCATCAAAATTTATTCATCAATGGTATATCAAAATTTAAATTTTGCTCTCTGCCGAGGTCTGCTTTAATGAGACCCATTTTGACAAAAAGCATCTTTTTAATCGACCTGCTGGTCGATCTGCTTTTACGAGATCAAATACACCCATAACATTTTCATCACTATTGAATCTGGCTGCTAAAATTGTTTACCACATGTTGACATAATTAAATTGTTGTTAATAAAATGCGATCATTGACAGCATTCTTATCGAGATTTTTAAATGCTTTGACGACAAACTATCAAAAATTATAGTTGCCTAAATTGGTGAAAGAAACATTTCCGGAAATATCAATTTTTATTTTATTTTTCCTGAATTGGGAATTTATATTCACATTAATTTTGTTAGGGCTGCCAGCCGATTTTAGGGCCGCTGAGCGACCCTCAACAATATACATGTAGTAGAATCAACCCTGGTTCAAGTGAGCTTTTCTCATCACTTGTTGTCCTTCACCTGTTGTCGTCTATTAACTTTTACAACTTAAACAACTGGGCCAAATTTAAGTAAACTTGGCCAAAATCATCATTGAGGTATTTAGTTTAAAAATGTGTACGGTGGCAATATGGATGACCCTACCTGCCAACCAAGATGGCTGACATGGCTAAAAATAGAACATTGGGGTAAAATGCAAGTTTTGTCTGTTATTTTGAAAACAGTTATAAATAGAGAAAATCTGACAGAGCAAAAATGTTAAGAAAGTTGAGCTCTACCAATTGTCCACATACGTCAAAACTCTCGGACAACTTCTTACAGGAGTTATTGCCCTTAAATGACAAATTTTACCATTTTTTTTCATGTTTGCTTATTATCTTGAAAACTATGATAGAAAGAGAGAAACTTAAATTGCAAAAATGATCAACAAGACAAGTTCTGCAAATAAGTGTGCAATGGCCGAAATCGTCAGTTGACTCCATATTAGAGTTATTACCCTTTTATAACGATTTTTACCAATTTTTTGCGTTTTTTCCTTATATCTTAAAAATTATAAAGGATAGATAGAAACTTAAATAAGCAAAAATTTTCAGCAAGACAAGATCTACAATTAAGACAATTTTTGAGAAATCGTCCGACGATTCCTTATAGGAGTTATAAGTTATAAGAAGATGTGGTATGAGTGCCAATGAGACAACTCTCCATCCAAGTCACAATTTGTAAAAGTAAACCATTATAGGTCAAAGTACGGCCTTCAACACAGAGCCTTGGCTCATACCGAACAGCAAGCTAATAAGTTCCCCAAAAATGACTAGTGTTAAACCTTTCAAACAGGAAAACCAACGGTCTAATCTATATAAAAAACAGGAAACCAGAAACACTTATGAACCACATCAACAAACACAACCACTGAACAACAGGTTCCTGACTTAGGACAGGTGCAAACAAATGCCCTTTAATGACGATGTTTACCATTTTTTTTGCATTTTGCCATATATGATAAAAATTGTAATAGATAAATAGACACTTTAAATCACAAAAATTATCAGCAAGGCAAGATCTAATAAGTCAAATTTTTCCGATATAGTTAGTTGACTATCACTCTTTATAGGAGTGATTGCCCTTAAATGAGGATTTTTTTACCCTCTTTTGTGTTTTAAGCAAAAACTAAAGAAGATTGAGAAAAACTAAACAGACTAAATGATCAGTAATACAAGATCAACAAAACAGATTTTTTTCAGGAATTGTATTCTCGTTTACAATGTTGGAGATTGTCCTTTGTTAAATATGCACATAGACCAAGGTGAGCAACACAGGCTCTTTAGAGCCTCTAGTTTGATATAATTTCTATCAATCATCTTTGCAATAACTAAGCTGCTGTACACATCATTAATAATGAATGGAAGGCTCCTGCATAAAAAGTTTACATATTTTACCTGTGATGAATGGTGCAAAATTCCTAAAAATCTGGAAATAAAAATTTCCAGAGTTGATGATTTCAGTAGCATCAAAACCTTTATGTTGAGTTTAATATGTCTATTTCAAAATAAATATATAATATTTTGTTTATATATTTTTTTTTATACTGGGTTGAAGGTTTTAAATAGATAACCCAAGTATAATTTTTTTTTCTCTACAGTGACAGTTTTAGGAATACCTTCAATTGTTTTGGACAGTACAACCTACACGATTCAAAAAGGTGATACACTAAGACTCAGATGTCAAATTGAATCAAGAAAATCAATGCCAGTTGTTAAAGTGATCTGGTGGAGAAAAGTCAAAAGTAATGATGTAAAAGTACCAGTTCAAAATGTTATGAAGTACAGGGGTGGAACAAGGACTATTCCTTCATTGACTATACTAGATGTTAAAGATGATGACAAGGGATCGTACTGGTGTGAGGCAATTAACAGTATTGGTCCATCTTTTAGTGAAACTGTTGAAGTAAATGTTGAAGCAGGTAATTTTTTCATTATTTTATAAAGCTTTGGTTGTTGGTACTTCTCTTGATTTATGAATATTCAGTTACAAAGGAAATTATTTTTCTTTGATTTTTTTTCGCTCAACCTGTTCTTAAATGATACTACAGTAGAGATATGGAAATTACAATGAGAAAATAAAACACTGTTTTTGAATATGTATAAAATTACTGTATTAAATTGTTCATGTAGGTAGTTACAAATATATATGTATGAAATTTATATCAGCAGTGTATCCAACAAGTTCAAATATCTGTGCCGATCAATTATTTTTAAAAGAGTTACCTCTCATAGAAATATTAATTATATGGCAAATTGCATTATAAGTGCCCTCAAACCAAATGCTCTAAGATATTTATAAAAAGTTTTAAAGAACCACCCAAAAAAAGTTTGATTAGTTAATGACAAATACAATATGTGCAACACAGGGGACATTGGAACTCTGTTCTTGTATTTACTGCAGTTATTGGACTTTGACCATTTGTTGGAGTATTGTAATAACACCTGATGAACGCCTCTGAGACCATTTTACAGAACGCTGTCATACTTGGTAGGATTGTTTGCCATTATTTGTTGTTGACCATATTGTACCGTCATTTGTATTTGATCATTTTCCCAGGAGTTATGGGTCTTTTACCATATTTTGACTATCGTACCACAATGACGCAATTTTTCCTAGAATGTTTTTATCTGTTTCTAAGTAAAGTTCTTTTTTATGACATATGTCTAATCTTCATTGTCCCCAGCACGACAAGTTTATGGGGACATAAAAATACCGGAAGTCTGTCCGTTATCAAACTTATATCAGATGTTTATATCAGCAATGTCTTTATCACATTCAAAAGTCATTGCCGATCAACTTTTAAAAAAAAGTTATGCCCCTTTGAAATGTTAATTACTGTAAATTCATAAATTATTGCATGCATTTGTTATTGCATGCATTTATTATTGGGATTTTTGAAGAATTGACAAAAATGCAAGATTAATTATTGCATTGCAGGAAAATCTGCATACAGATATATGTATCATATATCAGAATACGAGTTCTTATTGTTGCAATAATCACCAAGTTGCATTATTGGCATTTATGAAAAGCTTGCAATAATTTCTAAATTTACAGTATATGGAAAATTTCAATGTAACCACTCTGACATGTTCAATTCCTACCAGATTTTTTATCAATTTTATATCGTATGTTTATATCAGCAATGTCTCAGACAAGTTAAACAGTGCTGATTAATTATTTTTACTACCGCGTATATTGGTATGACCTTGGCGTCGTCGTTGTCGGCGTCGTCGTCGTCGTCCGAAGACGCATTGGTTTTCGCACTCTAACTTTAGTTTAAGTGAATGGATCTCTATGAAATTTGACCATAAGGTTCAATACCACAAAAGGAAGGTTGGGATTGATTTTGGGGGTTATGGTATAAACAGTTAAGGAATTAGGGGCCCAAAAGGGGCCAAAATTAAGCATTTTTGTAACTTCCAGACATAACTTGTGTGTTAGTGTATGGATCTCTCTGACATTGTACCACAAGGTTCAATATCACAAAGGGAATGCTGGGATTGATTTTGGGGGTAATTGCCTTAAAATTGTAGGAATTAGGGGCCAAAAAAGGGGCAAAAAACAAGCATTTTTCTAGTTTCATGACAATAACTTGTGTGTAAGTCTATGGATCTTTCTGATTTTGTACTACAAGGTTCCATATCACAAAGGGAAAGCTGGAGTTGAGTTTGGGGGCAATTGCCCGAAATGTTAAGGAATAAGGGGCCAAAAATAAGCATTTTTCTAGTTTCCAGACAATAACTTGTGTTCAAGTGTATGGATTTCTCTGAAATTGTACTGCAAGGTACCATACCACAAAGGGAAGGCTGGGATGGATTTTGGGGGTAATTGCCTCAAAAATTTAGGAATTAGGGGCCAAAAAGGGAAAAAAACCAGCATTTTTCTAGTTTCAGGACAATAACTTGTGTGTAAGTGTATGGATCTTTATGAAATTGTACTACAAGGTTCCATATCACAAAGGGAAAGCTGGGTTTGAGTATGGGGGTAATTACCCTAAATGTTTAGGAATTTGGGGCCAAAAAGGGGCAAAAAAACACATTTTTCTAGTTTCCAGACAATAACTTGTGTTCAAGTGTATGGATCTCTCTGAAATTGTACTGCAAGGTACCATACCACAAAGGGAAGGCTGGGATTGAGTTTGGGGGTAATTGCCCTAACTGGTTAGGAATTTGGGGCCAAAAAGGGTCCAAAAACAAGCATTTTTCTAGTTTCCAGACAATAACTTGTGTTCAAGTGTATGGATCTCTCTGAAATTGTACTGCAAGGTACCATACCACAAAGGGAAGACTGGGATTGAGTTTGGAGGTAATGGATCATTAGGGGGTTCAAAAAATTTGGGGGGGGGATTTTTTAATTTTTTTTCCTTTTTTTTCTTTAAAATTTTCCTTTTTAAATTGGTTATTTCTGATTTATATATAAAAGCAAATAAAAATGATATGGTTTGAATAGGTAAATTAAAAATTTTTAAGTTCTTAGACCACATTCATTCTGTGTCGGAAACCTATGCTGTGTCAAATATTTAATCACAATCCAAATTCAGTGCTGTATCAAGCTTGAATGTTGTGTCAATACTTGCCCCAACTGTTCAGGGTTCGACCTCTGCGGTCGTATCAAGCTGCGCCCAGCGGAGCATTTTATTAAAAAATGTTATGCCCTTGCAAATATTAATTAGAAAGAAAATTGCATTGTATGTGCTTTCATGTGTACAATTCTTGCTAGATTTTTATCAAACCTATATATAGTTAGCATCAGCAATGTCCCGGACAAGTTTGAAATTCAGTGCCCATCAACTTTTTTTAAAAGAGTTTATGCCCCTTGGAAATATTGTTTTATAGAAAATTGCTTTGTAAGTGCTCTCATAAGTATAATTCTTGCCAGATTTTTATCAACCTTATATCAGAGATTCATTTCATCAATGTCTTGGTCAAGTTGCAAATTAGTGCAGATGAATTTTTTTAAAGAGTTATGCCCCTTGAAAATATTTGTTTTATGGAAAATTGCATTGTAAGGTCTTCACCCTTAATTTCTTTAAGAGTTTTAATTTTTTTTTAAGTTATTGCCCTTGAACACATAAAATATGTGCAATGTGTGGGAAATTGAAACTTTGTTCTTTTATTGAAATAGCATGCATATTGTTCAAATAGGGAATACAAACTTTTTAAGGATACATTGTGTTGGGATTTTTTTTTAGAATATTTGTAAGCATTGCAAACATCTTGAACTGCAACTTAATATTGCAAAAATAATATATGAAGCATTTACACATCTTGACATACAATCATTTTTATACGACCGCAAAAATTAAAAATTTTTTGGTCGTATATTGGTATGACGTTGGCGTCGTCGTTGTCGTTGTCGTCGTCGGCGTCGTCCGAAGACACATTGGTTTTCGCACTCTAACTTTAGTTTAAGTGAATGGATCTCCATGAAATTTTACCATAAGGTTCAATACCACGAAAGGAAGGTTGGGATTGATATTGGGGGTTATGGTACCAACAGTTAAGGAATTAGGGGCCAAAAAGGGGCCACAAATAAGCATTTTTGTAACTTCCAGACAATAACTTGTGTGTAAGTGTATGGATCTCTCTGATATTGTACCACAAGGTTCCATATCACAAAGGGAAGGCTGTAATTGATTTTGGGGGTAATTGCCTCAAAATTTTAGGAATTAGGGGCCAAAAAAGGGGCAAAAAACAAGCATTTTTCTAGTTTCATGACAATAACTTGTGTGTAAGTGTTTGGATATTTCTGAAATTGTACTACAAGGTTCCATATCACAAAGGGAAAGCTGGAATTGAGTTTGGGGGTAATTGCCCGAAAGGTTTAGGAATTGGGGGCCAAAAAGGGGCCAAAAATAAGCATTTTTCTAGTTTCCAGACAATAACTTGTGTTCAAGTGTATGGATCTCTCTGAAATTGTACTGCAAGGTACCATACCACAAAGGGAAGGCTGGTATTGAGTTTGGGGGTGATGAATCATAAGGGGGTTCAAAAAATTTGGGAGGGGGGATTTTTTGTTTTTCTTTTTTTTTTCTTTTAAAATTTTCCATTTTAAGTTGGTTATTTCTGATTAATATTTGAGAGAATAATAATGATATGGTAGGAGATACACACCAAACAGGATGTGTAAATTATTATATAATAAGTATTGTGCAATAGCAAGAAATTTTCAATTGCACAGTATTGCACAATAGCAAGAAATCTTCAATTGCACAGTATTGCGCAATAGCAAGAAATCTTCAATTGCACAGTATTGCGCAATAGCAAGAAATATCCAATAGCACAATATTGCGCAATAGCAAGAAATTGTCAATTGTACAGTATTGCGCAATAGCAAGAAATATTCAATTGCACAGTATTGTGCAAAAGAAGATACTTCGTATAAATTGCTTATTTCTTGATCAATTTCAATGGGGTTTTATTCTTGAATTCTTGGGGTTCTTTAATATGCTGAATCTAACCATGTATTAAGTTTTTGGATTTTGGGCCCCATTTTTAAATTGGTCCACATTGAGGTCCAAAGGGTCCAAAATTTAACTTTGTTTGATTTCATCAAAAATTGAATTATTGGGGTTCTTTGATATGCCGAATCTAACCGTGTATTTAGATTCTTAATTTTTGGTTCCGTTTTCAAATTGGTCTACATTAAGGTCCAAAGGGTCCAAAATTAAACTTAGTTTGATTTTAACAAAAATTGAATTTTTAGGGTTCTTTGATATGCTGAATCTAAACCTGTATTTAAATATTAGATTTTTGGGCCCAGTTTTCAAGTTGGTCCAAATCAGGGTCCAAAATTAAACTTTGTTTGATTTCAACAAAAATTGAATATATGGGGTTCTTTGATATGCTGAATCTAACCATGTATTTAGATTTTTGATTTTTGGGCCCCGTTATCAACTTTGTCCACATTGAGGTC